ACCTCATGAAGCCTGTCTCTTATACACATCTAGATGTGTATAAGAGACAGGAGAGAGAGAGAGAGAGAGAGAGAGAGAGAGAGAGAGAGACCGAAACAGAGAGACAGAGGGAGAGAGAGAAGTAGATAGATAGAAAAGGGGAGAGAAAAAGCAAATCGAAGTCGTCGTCTAAAAAAGGAAAGTGCATAATGCACTTCATCGGCGCCAATACAAATTCATAGATGACGAAATTATCCGTCCGGGCAAACGGCAACAGCCTACGAGAAACCCAAAAAAAAAAAACAAAAAAAAAACAGACGACGATGTGACTGGAGGACTCATCCACCCAATCGGACCACCACCCACTTCCCTGGCCAGCACAGCCAATCAGGAACAGCCACGTCCGCGACGGACAAACGACGGGTACATCAACGACGACATCGCTCTCACTTTCGCGTCGTGTGGACGATGGAAGCGACGAGGTGCACAACAGAGGCGGCACAAACTCTAACGCTCGTGGATGGCCTTCGCTATCTCCAGCAGAGCGTGACACATCAGTTTGCTAACTTCGTCAGACGCTGCGTAGTGTTTTTTTTTGCACTTCGACCTCCGCTTCCAACGCCTCGCTCTGCCGGATTTGATAGAGCACTGCCGCTTACTGTTGCTCTCCATCGTCGACGCCACCTGAGCCCCGTGCTTCTCCATGCATTCCGTCAGCGCTTTGAAAGTTTGTTTCCTCGTGATCTTCCTCTTGCCGAAACTGGTAGGGCTTCCCGTCGTCTGAGAAGAACCTCTCGTCGACCCGTCGTCGTCGTCGTGCCCTGCAGCAGCGTCCCCATCGCCCACAGATTCATGATCCACAAAACTGGCGGACGGCAGACGTACACCACCCGGAGCACCAGTGTTGACGACGTTCTTCGGGTTTATGGTGTGGCTCTTGGCGGTCGACCCCAGGATCTCGTCGTAAACCGCACGATCCATGTTGAAATTGAAGCCCTTCGACAACCTCTCTTTCCTTGAGAATTGGAAGAAGTCCTGTTTCCCGGACAAGCCTTGGAAGTGATGCACCTTCTTGAACTGCTGCATCAAATTGTCCCACTTCTTCCCGCACCGTTCTGCTTCTCTGTTGACGCCCACCTTCTTTAACCTCTGCTCCACATCCAACCACTTCCATTCTCGCAGCTTCATACGAGCGAACGCGGTACCCATCCCCTGCAGATGCGCGTCTTGGTCACGTTTAGCCCGGATGAGGGCTATCATGTCGTCCACGGACCAGAACTGACGACCTCCTTCTGTGTCAGCGTCAGCTTCGGCATCACTCCCCTTCCCCACTGCTATTTTCCCCCGACGACCATTGCGAGCACACGCCCTCGTCTTCCCGCCCCTCCCTCCCATGCTGCTTTGCTTGAACGGCGTTACGTGGCCTGCGTCCTCCTCCCCACCTTCGCCGTCGTCTTTGTTCCACTCCTGATCGTTCGGGCCCACCGCAGGTGCGTCACCGTCGTCTTCGTGATCCCCCACACAGTCGCTGCACCCCCCGAGTTATGGATTCCTCCCGCCGTGGATGAAGTGTCCGTCGCTGTTCTGCCCACACCTCCCTCCCGTCGCGTGCATCACCAACATCGTCGATGCCACAATCAGTCTCCCCGCATTCGCCTCAACGACGGGCTGCAGTGGAAGTGGCGGACAGGGGAGATGGAGACTGCATCCACAAGGGACGAGCTGAGGCACCCCTCGACAAAGACGGCGTCCGGTATTGCTGCCTCGGAGGATCCCTGTTGTTCCCCGACGCCTCCCGGACCGGCGCTGGAGACTTCGAAGACCACACAACAGCCGTCACCTGCCCGTCGTCGTCGCCGGGATGGTCGTCGACGATCACCGTTCGCGAGGCAGCCGACGACCTCCAGCTACACAGCCCGAACGACAGATTGACGTCGTCGTTGCCTTCATCGCCGCTGAGCCCCTGTTGGAGGAGTTAGGTGTACGACTGGCCATAACCGTCGTCGCGGCTTCCACAGAGCTCCGTAGCTGCCCACTCCTGGGTGGACCTGCTTCCCAGCGGCACGGTCCGTGACCGTCTCTCCTCTGCCTCCTCGTTGGACGTGTCCGAAAGAGGCTGCAAGTGCGGTGGCAGGTGTGCGTACCCAGACCGCTCCGACGGCCTTGAACTTCTCAACGGGCTCTGCCCAGCCCGCTGGCCACCACCCTCATCCCCTGCAGATCTGCACATCCCCTACCGCCCCTCCATACCGACGTTCTTCTTCGAAGACCGTCTTCTGCAGCCACGTCGCGGAACGATGCGGAGGATACACATGTGGAAGACAACTAAGAGGAGCAGGAGGATGACCAGCACCAGCAGCGGCAGCCTCCGAAAGACGTCGGCCATGAAACGCACGTGGACGACGCCAACAGGTAGAAGACAACCGTGGACGTCCAGGAAACGGCGAGGGTCAGTGGTGCAAACGGCCGATCGCAGCTACCGACAAAAGCAGGGTAATGTATTCCGTCGCGGAACACACTGCGCAATCGGGAGAGCGGGGGTGGGCTGAAGTATTCGAATCTGCCGACCGTTGGGCGCTTTCCCGCTACTGCCGAAGGGCAGCGACGCACGGCAGCCCGTTTTCGATGTCGCGGAGGACGGCAGGCCGCCAAAGGGGACCGTTGGCAGAGTATTCCATGACGCCGACCGTTGCCAACCGGAGATGTCCGTCCACGGGACGCCAGGAATAGCAATGGACCAGCCGCGTCGAAAATTGTCGTCGCGAGAGCTGCATTCGACGCCCCGATTCTTCCGGATGCTCGACCTCCAAGGGACCTCGGGAGGTCCCTTGGGGAACGCGTCGAAACGGCTGTAGCCCGAGGAATCCCCGAGGAAATGTTTTCACTTTTTTTTTTCGTTTTCTTCCCCGAGGATAAGTGGAACGATGATTTCCTCGGGGATTTTACGCGCCCGAGGAGTGTCGAACGAGCCCCTTAGTACATACTACATAGCATCCGAAAGAGAATCTTTTTTTTCTTTTTTGCTTTTTTTCTCTTTTTGTTTTTTGTTCTTTTTGTTCTTTTCTTTTTTCTAAATCTTAGGATCGACGTCAAGGAGTTTCCTCCTCCTCAAAGAATAGAGGGCTCCACTGGAAAGTTAAATTTGAGAAAATTCCAAATTTTCCTTTTGGGAATTCCGCCTGTCTTCACTGAGAAATCAGTTCTCCTCACTTGCCCGCTATCCACTGCAGATTCAGGGGTCCTCAAACGGGAAACCTGGGCCATTCCCCATTTGAGGACCAGATCTACAGCTCTCATTTTCCAAGAACCGTTTCGCACGCCAAGGTTTCACCCAGAAAAAAAAAAAAGAACCCTTTTGCACTGCAGATTCACCAATTTCGTTGCTTTTTGCTTTTTGCAAACTTCTCCAACCCCCAACTCTGTCATTTGAGATTTGAGGGGCACTACCTCATCCGGATCCGAAGCTGCGACTGCACTCAGGCCATTCGCATCTGGACATCGCCTTCAATATGGCAAAATAAATATAGTACGAATTCAGCCCAGGTTGGGGCTGATCTGGACATCGCCTTTTTTTTCTTTTTTTTTTTAACCACCGACCACTACTAGAGGGGGTGATAATATGGGAAACAGAGCTGCACACCGTAGTGCCCCTTGGATGCAAAAAGCAACAAAATCCGTGGGCAGTGGAGCCTCACGAATTTCCCTGCTTAAGTTAAAAAGGGGAAAATATCCGAAGTAGTACGGTGGAGCGCGAGCCTTAGGGCCTCTCGCTGCACTGCTCACCAAAAGTGCAAAAGGACAATGAATCAGCCACAACATGGAAAGATACACTACCACATTTTTTGTCTTTTGTGCATTGGGGGGCTAGTGGAGCCAGGCCGCTTACTCTTGACTTACTCCCTAGCATCACTAGGGTAGTTTTTGTAAAAAAAAAAAAAGTTCCCAGAGACCCGTTCGATGGGGCGAGTCGTCCGAGGACAAACAAGTGTCTAGGCCTGGCACTGCCATGTGGTAGCCAACAAGAAGCAGTGAATAGTTATTGATAAGATCCATACAGTATATGCCCTCCAAAAAGTACAAACTACCTTAAAGGTGCAGAGAGCTGCATATATGTCCAGATGCAGAGCAGCCTATCAGCAGTGAAATATGGTACACAGTGCATCTTATGGCATGCTGAATACACTAGAGACTTTCTGTTAACTTATTTATAGGTGTCATTTCAACCAGATACATCCAAGTAGGGCCGTAATTACTCTCAAATACATTGGCGACCGCAAAGGTCCTACAAATGCTCCACAACCCTTGAAACCCCTAACAAACCCTTCCAAAGTTCTCCAACTTTGTCTTACTCCCTGCCGAGCTCTTCCAGGCCTCACACCCCCACATCCTGCAGGGTTACAGAGCGACACAACTCACCCCAGCTCCGACCAGCGTCGTCCCGGCAGCAACGCTTGGTTGTCCCGTGGAATGCCCACCCCAAAGCATCCCCAGATCTCTCTACCAGGCCTCACACTCCTGCATCAGCAGGTTACAGGGCAACACCCCAGCACCGGCCAGCGTCGTTCTGACAACGAACAGCCGCAGATCACTGAGTATAACAGCATCGAAGCCACCTAAGACAAATTTTAAATACCCAGAAGGATTAGAGGAACCATAGTTTGTATCAGAAATGAGACCCGACGCCCGTATAGGGGTGAAGAGGTTGTGCTCTCCTCTATAAAGAGGATTTTTAATATTTCCAAATGTAATTGAGGGACGTTGGACCCGGTTTCCAGCAGGTGCAACTCCCCACCAGTAGATGGAGTGGCCAAGGCAGATCTAGTAGGAGGGGCTGCTTGTATCACCCACCTATTAGACTAGAGTTCAAAAAAAAAAAAAAAAAAAAAAAAATTGCACACTACTGCATCATATGTCGACTTGCATGAATTGCTTTTTCTGAGAGATTTACAGATCTATAGAATCGAAGTTTTAACTGGGCTTGAATTTGCTATTAAGTCATTCTAATCGTTAGATTCGTCATTGAAACCTTGAATTTTCGTTGTTGTACTCGGTGAGTGTTCTACGTATGATCTGGAAAATATTTTTGGTTTACCTCCAATATGTTACATAACCTCGGTTTGAATTTCAAACTGGTGCTGGTCGTAGTGGTTTCTTAGGTTGGACGGTTTGGCAGGAAGGTTGGTAATACATCTTGCGGCGAAGGGGGCTAGCTAGCATGATGGAATTATGGCACAGCAGCAGTAGGGAGAATGCCCCTATTGCGGTAAGTCTTGCCAGAGAGGGGTTGAGATGAAGGGATGCAGGGGGTTAAGGAAGGACTGCAACCAGCGCATGAAGGAGTTGGAGGCATTGGAAACCACTGTCATGGTGAGGTTGGCGGCTTGTCTTGTGTTTGCTGATGCTCACGAACTCAGAGGTTTGTGAATGGACGAGGCCAGAACAACGYTGGCYRGTGYTGGGGCGTGGTCGCGCTGCCCTGTGACCCGAGTTGTTMGGGAGCAAGAGRCCTGGTRGAGAGATCTGGGGAGTTGYCGAGGGTGGAAGGCACTCCAGTGTCTGTTGATAAGCTGGTATCCAAACGACGTTGGTCGGAGCCGGGGTGAGTCGCTTCGCCCTGTAGCCCAGCAGGTGGGGGTTATTCTGGAGTGGGTCGTGCCACTCTGTAACCTAGCAGTTGGGGGTGTGAGGCCTGGTAGAGTCTGGGTATCGAGAGCATGTGGGTTGAGGTAGGCTTAGGGCGGGTGGCTCAATCACACTAGGGCATTTTGGTTTCGGGCTGAAAGCTTCTACGCATTCAAGACTCGAAGTAGTTGGTACTCTAGTTGTTTTTAAAATTCTCTCGACTCTGGGGACTTCTAATAACTCGTCTTAGGTGGCTTCGATGCTGTTATACTCAGTGATCTGCGGCTGTTCGTTGTCAGAACGACGCTGGCCGGTGCTGGGGTGTTGCCCTGTAACCTGCTGATGCAGGAGTGTGAGGCCTGGTAGAGAGATCTGGGGATGCTTTGGGGTGGGCATTCCACGGGACAACCAAGCGTTGCTGCCGGGACGACGCTGGTCGGAGCTGGGGTGAGTTGTGTCACTCCGTAACCCTGCAGGATGTGGGGGTGTGAGGCCTGGAAGAGCTCGGCAGGGAGTAAGACAAAGTTGGAGAACTTTGGAAGGGTTTGTTAGGGGTTTCAAGGGTTGTGGAGAATTTGTAGGACCTTTGCGGTCGATTTCCATGCTTCCCGAATTATTGCAAGTATTCCCAGACGTTTTTTCAGCCGAAGCCGGGTAATGGCCCCGGTATCTCAAAAAAAGAGATCGAGGTGAGTGGGAGAAGGAGATGGTGGGATATTACGCGTCCTACTAGCGAGGGGGCCAGCTGGTAGGATGGGAAAAGGGTACAGCAGCAGTGGAGATGGTGGCTCTGCTGCAGTAAGTCTTGGCGGAAAGGGCTATAGGGGATTG